CCATTTAAAGTCATTAAAGTTAGATTGTGTTGTTGCCGTTTAAATAAAATCGCCAAAACTAACCGCACTATCGCGGATATTGCTAATCAAGACTAAGGGATTTTTCATGGAAACTTCCAGTTTCCTAAGTAAACTTCCAGGCCGATTTATGCCGGTCAAGCATTCGGCGTAATCAATGAAGTTACGACACCCACAATGCATTAAACTGTCGCGTCTCTTCCGTTCGGCACTGGAAGCGGAAATGTAGCTCGAAGTAATTGCTCATGCACTCTTTAACACGAATTAAAAGCAGCGAAACAATCGCTACAAAGAGTTGATGGAAAATTAGCGCGTGCACATTTGCTACACTCGGATGCAATCAGGGCTGTGTCGGCAGCATTTCACTCTCCAATGGGAAATGCAATTAGGCGTCAGCGAATATCAAATGTTCGCGGTTTTTTTTTTCATCGGGAAACCGCCTACTACTATAATTCATCACTCACACCTTGACGTTCCATATATTAGGTGGCTTCCCGAAGACACTCATGACACGTTCTAACAAATGACATTTTTTAAAAGGAGATTATCCCGCCGTTAACATTCAGAGTTCGTAACTTGTAACACAGGGTTAAAGTATAAGTTAATCCGCGACCCTCTTTACCGGCAAGATAGATTTCGTGACACGTTCGCAATTTTGTTTTCCAGGCAACTTGCCGACGTCAAGTGGGCCTTTTATTTTTGGTCACTTTCCTCATTTTCCGCCTCTTTGACTTCTTATGAACGCCTAGAGAGCCCCAGTCAACCAATTAATAACGACATTTATTTGATTGCAATAAAACGACGGGTTTTTTGTTGGTGCTAACAAACTGGTTCCACTCTAGCTGATCGTCATCAACCTTTTGAGTTTCCAGGGTAACGCGATTGTTTTCCTGTTGTCATTGGCCCGACACAGTACCGCCCACTAGACAATAAGTTAACAGTCAACAACAAGCGGGACTGCAGGTTGCCTGCACCAACAAACAACTTTGCAGCAACACTGGTGAGTTTTTCGGGCTTTTCCACGACAATCTAAAATCTGGAAAACTCACCAGTTTCAAACGATGGCCTCGACAGTCTCACTCTTTTGAGAACTTTACTCCAATTTGCAATCGGGACCTTTTACCGAATACTTGAAATATTTACACTGTTGGAAAGTATGCGGCAGTAAAAAGTTTTCTATTCGTTTGCTATGTGCACATAGTTAAATCTAGTTGATGGAATTTGCGCCGTTATGGCAAAGTTTTGGGTCCCGACAGGAAAAACCTAATGGAACGGAAAAGCGATGCAGGGGAAAAGGCGCATGCAAATAAAGTACAAGCTTTGTCAAAGGAAAAACTCGATAGATTGGGCGATATAAAAACAGATTCTGTTTCCTTATTGACTGTTCAATCAAGGCTGCCAGTTTTGGGGCCGAAATAAAATAAAACCTGCCATGCTCACGCTTTATTCGCGTCTAAATTTCTTAAGATTAACCGTGACGAGGCTTTCAGGTTTAGTAGCTGCTATTAAATGCATTTATTGGCCGATTTTGTTCAAAGTTTTACGGATTGAAATACGGAAATGTTGCTCTCAAGCTGCAAAAATCTAACTTTCTAATTTCTAGTTTTGTTTAATGAATTTTCCAGGCTCTGGCCTCGAATTAAATCATTTGTGCCCTGTCCAGGTTTACGAATTTTTCAAAAATCTACCTATGGGTCAAGTTTGCTTAAACTTTGGGCAAGTCAAAATACGTCTCTCTTTTTTAATCCGCCAAAGTTTCAGTCTTCTAGATGGTCCAGTTTTGATTTGACAATTTTTTTAAAAAGTTTTTGAAAATGTACAACAAATCAGCGCAAAACTCAAGTTCCTTCAAATTTTCCGCCGATTAAAACTGAGCTCTTTTCTCTGCATGTGCAAAGCTGGAACGTTCTGAAAGTCCTGGTTTGGTTGCTACGAGTTTTTAAAAGAGGGTGCGTAACTCATCCTTACTCAATCCGGTCCGGTGTTTGAGTGCCTGTGAAAAATTTGCGAAACCCGCTATTTTGTTAAGTTTTTCATATGTTGAAAACGGAATCGTGTTCTTTATATTTCCAAAAATTCAGCTTTCTGGAGACCCGATTTCCGGTCCAGCATTTGGGCGCTTGTAAAAAAAATAATACAGATCTGAAATTTATTCAAAATCTCGGAGGTAGACATTATAGTTTTTTCCTCTGATTTTGCAAAGTTCAACATTTTAGAGGCTCCAATTTTTGGGTTAAAATCTTTCAGAAAAGTCCGAACAACAATCAGTCTAAAACCAGTATTGGACCCAAACTTAAGAGATTTTAAAAAAATTAGCGAGAAGTATCACCCGTTTCAAAGTTTCATAAATTCACAACTGAACTCTTTTCTTTACATGTGCAGAAACTCAGCCTTCTAGGGCCTCCGATTTAGTTGTGACAAATTTTTCAAAAACAGCCTACCTTACACAATTCATACCAATTTTTAGCCCCGCGCTCGAGCTAAACTAATTATTAGACTCTTGTTGGAGATGCTGCCATAAATTAGCACAAATGTGCAATTCTATGAATTTTTTACGCAGTCAAAATAGACCTTTTTTCTTTATATTGCGAAAATTAAAACATTTTTGGACGCAACAAATTTTCAAAAATAACCCTGCAAAACTGAGTCGACAGCAAGAATTAGGCTCGTGCTTAAGAATTTTTTAAAAATTAGTGGACGGCCGTATTTGATTGAAGTTTTCAATTTCAAGTCACGGATCTTCAGTATCTTTAATTCGCAAAGCTCGGAGTTCAGATCTTCAAGTTTTGTTGTTACAAATTTTAAAAAAATATCCTGCATCACTCAGTTCAACCAACTGGGCACTTTTTTTTAAATTTTTTTTAAAAATCTGGACAAACTTCTTCTTCTTCTTCTTCTTCTTCTTGATTGAAATTCTCAGGGCTTCAAGAACACTGTTCTTCCTATACCCTTGCAGAATTTCAGCGTTCTAGAAGGGCCAGTTTTATTCTTTTGAATTTTTAAAAGGGACTCTACTTAACTCAACCCAGTACAACTAGTAGACCTACGTTTAAGCGTTTCTCAAAAATAAGCGCAAAGCTCCCATTTGTACTAATGTTGAAGTATCCACAACAAAATGTTTTCTTCTATATTCTCCAGAAATTCAGTCCATTAAAGACCGCCGTTTTGTGCTTACTAAATTTTCAAAAAAGTCTGGGTTGGATTTTTATTTACCCAAACTATCCCAAGTATTAGTCGCGCCATCGAGTGTCTGTTAAAAATCAACGCAAAGTCGCAGATTATTGAAATTTTCGGGCATTTACCATCGACCTTTTCTCGTCATATGTGCCTAATTGCAGCCCTTTGGAGGCTTTACTTTGATTGCAAGCAATTTTTGAAAAATACCTTACCTAACCGAACCTGCCCAGTTATAAATGTCGGATTCGAGCGTCAGTGAAAAACCAACGCACAGTCCGAATTTACTGACATCTTCTCAGGTCTACACTTGACCGTTTGGCTTTATACTGCCGAAGTTTCAGACCCTTATAGACTGCAATTTTGTCCCTAACAAATTTTGAAAAGCACCTTCCCTAACCCAATTATTAACCGCCATTGAGTGTCTGTTAAAAATCAGCGCAAAGTCGCAGTTTATTGAAACTTTCTGACATTCAAAACTGACTCTTTCTCATCATATCCACATAATTTCGCCCCTTTCAAGGCCCCAGTTTGGTTACTAGCAATTTTTGAAACAGACCTTACCTGGCCTAACCTGCTCAATTATAGGATGCACAATTGAGCGGCTGAAAAATCAACGCGAAGCTCGAACTTACTGACATTTTCCAAGGTTTAACCATGAACTTTTTGTTTTATAGTTCTTAAATTTCAGCCCTTTAGAGAGCGCAAATTTGTCACTACCAAATTTCGGAAAGGGCCCCACCTTACCCAATTATCAGTTCCGACATTGAGTGTCTCTGAAAAATCACAGCAAAGTCGCAATTTAATCAAACTTTCAGACATTAAAAGTGGGCCTTTTCGCTTGATATTGACCGAAATTAAGGCCTTTGTAGGCCCCAATTGCTTTGTCACAAATTTTCAAATAGCACGCTACATAACTTCTTCTTCTTCTATTTGAACCAATTACTAGACCCACTTTTGAGCCTTTTGCAAAAATCACGGCATTGTCCCAGTTCATTGAAATGTTCGGACATTCAAACCCGAGCTTTTGCCTATAAGTTGCCAAAATTTCCACCTTCTAGTGGCTCTTGGGCCATAACTACGAATTTTTCAAAAGTAATTGGCTTGGAAGCGCTGCCGCACTAAATTCGAACGCAAGCACCCTGCTGATGTATAAATATTTCCAGTAATGGATAAAGTTGGCTGTAGGTAAACGAGGTAATTTCGCTCAAATTGTGTGTCTACAGACAAAACGTACATGTAAGTTCGAACAACCTGCATCTAAATTAGCAACTGCTGAAACCTCTGATTAAACTTATTCCCATGAGCCTTTTTGCGGCAGCCGGGCAAATCGACTTCGTCTTCGCCTGCTTTACTTCTCATTTTGCTTTTTGCTGAGACATCGATATGCTCTAATGAAATACTGCATATTTTCGTTGAGCCATTAAGAGCCCCACTTGTTATGCTTTTGTCGCATAGTCCCGGAAGCTGCCGGCTGCATTTTCTGAATGCAGAACATTCGCATCGTATAAATACCCTTTATAACGACCACGTTCTGGTCATTAGCTTTTTTAAGCATCGATCTTCACTGAGTGGCCACGATTCTTGAAAAACGCGAGAAGAACAAGGAAATTCCACAGAATGTGCCATTTTAAGAAACATGCACGCCTAATGACCGGCAGTTAACGAGCAAAAAACCTCTAACCAACCGGTGCTGTTTTGGCTTTAGTTTCCACTCGGTGCAATAAATCAGCGTTGGATTGGCAAAAAAAAACAAAGAAATACTTTCAGTTGAAAGGATGAGCCCCATTAATGTTGTGGTTTTCCAGAAGGGCGTACTTTGGAACTGCACTCTCCAGACGCTGTGCATAGCTGCGTGCTGCGCGCCACTGATGCAGCTGAAGCTGTGGCCTGGTTCAACACGCTTCACTCTGCTTTGGCCGTGCTGACCACAGCTGCTCTACATGAAGCGGCCAGAGCCATTGCCGATCTGAGACACATCGGATGGCTTTTACGCAAGCCTCGCCTGGAAGTAAGTGGCAAATTTCCTATCCAATCAGCCCCAACTCTATTCGCGAATAAGCCTGGCTTTACTGTTCTGCTGCAGTGACATGTTAGAAAGTTCATTAAATTTTCAGCGCAAATGTTAATTTAAAACCCCCCCGGTGCTGGCGCGCTTTGCCAACAGCGAAGCTTAATAAAGTGCTCTTGGTAGCTGCCAGCTTCAATATCGCAGCTAATTAGCAAAGCTCGAATTAAGTGGGGATGTTGTTGCTGTTGCAGAACAACATGTCCAGCTCAGAAAGCTCAGAAGACATGGAGCGATGGCAGTCGGTGTTTGCAGCTGTAACCGATAGCGAGCTGAGGTTTTATGAGAGCGCCCCCTGGTCTGGGGAGGCTTGGAGGGCGCCTGCTGAGGCCTACTCTTTGATTGCCACCCGATTGGTCGGCTCTGGGAAGCGGGACGACTTTCCCGAGTTTAGTATTCGGTAGGTGAATCAGAGTTGTGTTTTTCTATTGGCTTGTTTAAAGCCCCAACTTTGAAATTGGATAAATTATTTCTTCTAGCTTCGATCCAAGAGGAAAAATGTTATCACTGCAAGACCAAAAAGTTGATTTTTCGAAAAATATTCAAAATTGTTTTGAGATATGAGGTTTTTTTGTGCGTTTGAAGTTGAAATCCAAAAAATATTGTTTTTTTGTGCAATTTTTGCATTGTTTCATGTACCACCCTGTAGAAATATTATCTGAATTTAGTTTTCTGAATTTTTGTAGAGTTTTGGAGGTTTTAAAAACGAACTTTTCCGGTGTATTTTCGCTGTAGTTCCAGCGTCTTTACAAACTTGCCTGAAAACTGCGTTCAAAGGGCGAAAAGTGAAGTGTGGGGGTGGTTTCAAAAAAGCAATTTTGCGCGCTTCAACAGGCCGTAGTTTCACGGTTTTTGCGAACTTTTGGCAGCTGAAAACTTAGATTGAAATCCCAAAATATATGCATTATTCAGTTTTGTAAAGTTTCAAATTGGCTCTTCCTTCACCGAGCTTGTGAAGATGAAAAATCACGATTTTTTTGGTGTATTTGGCAGTGGCAGCTTCAAAGCCCCGAAATGGTCGCATTATTCAATTTTTTTAAACTTTCAAATAGAACCTTAATTGCGTTTGTTCCATTGCCCAAGGAAATCGGTCACTGAAGATGAAGAAAATGTTTTCTCGGTAATTGGTTCAGTTATCGAATATTCCAATGTTAGTCAAAATCTAATATCCAAACAAATATCCTAACATTTTTTTTTTT